CGACTCGATGGCACCTGACAACAACAACAAGTGCTGGGAGAGGAGCCCCTGATGTTGGAAAGCAGTAACAAATAGCTGCCTACTCAAAGTAGAGTTGACCATGATGACAAAAATGGAGTAATGTCTTGGGTACCTTCATTTGCTTTATGGGGCATAACTCAAAATGAGGAGAAACAGCTGCAAACATCCATTAATAATTAGAAGATAGAATGTTTGAATCTAGAAAAATTGGAAGTTGTCAAAAATTAAATAGAATGCATAAAAGTGGATATCTTAAGCATTAGTGAACTGAAATGGACCTATTGGCTATTTTGAATCTGACAGTCACATGATTTACTAGGCTGGGAATGATAAATAGGTGAGGAATGCCATTGTATTCATCATCAAAGAGAACTTTTCAAGAAGTATCTTGAAGTACAGTGCTGTCTGTGATAGGATAATATCCATACACCTACAAGAAAGACCAGTTAATATCACTATTATTCAAATGTATGCACCAAACACTAAAGCCTATGATGATGCAATTGAAGAATTAATTCTACTAACATCTTCAGTCTGAAATTGATCAAATATGCAATCAAGATGTATTGATAATTACTGGTGATTAGAATGCAAGGTTGAAATTAAAAAAAGAAGGATCAGTAATTGGAAACTATGACTTTGGTGATGGAAATGATGCTGGAGATCGCATGGTAGAATTTTGCAAGACCAATGGCTTCTTCATTGCAAATACAGTTTTTTAAACAACTTAAAAGACAATTATACACATGGACTTCATCAGATGGAGTTCATAGAAATCAAACTGACAACTTCTATGGGAAGAGATGGTGGAAAAACACCATATCATCAGCCAAAACAAGGCTAGAGTCCAACTGTGGAACAGACCATCAATTGCTCTTATGGAAGTTGAAGCTGAAGGTGACGAAAATTAAACAAGTCCTGTGAGCTAAAATATGACCTTGAACACATCCGACCTGATGTTAGCAATTATCTCAATATCAGATTTGATGCATTAGACACTAATGATCAAAACCAGAAAGGTTGTGGGGTGAATATAAAGAACATCATAAAGGAAGGAGCTCTGGTAGCGTAGTGGTTACGAATTGGGCTGTGAACCACAAGGTCAGCAGTTCGAAACTACCAGCTGTTCCGCGGGAGAAAGATGAGGCTTTCTGCTCCCGTAAAGATTTACAGCCTCGGAAACCCTGTGCAGGGTCGCTATGGGTCGGAACCGACTCCACGGCACATAACAACAACAACAACAGGAAGAAAGCAAAAGGTCATTAAGAAGACAAGGAAGAAAGACAAGACCAAAATGGATGTCAGGAGAGACTCTAAAATTTGATATACAGCATAGAGATGCTAAAGCACTAAAGCAAATGGAAGAAATGAGGAGGTAAAAGAGCTGAGTGGAAATCTTCAAAGGGCAGCTCAAGAATACAGAGTCAAATATAATGAAATGTGTGAAGATCTGGAGTTAGAAAACCAAAAGGGAAGAACACGCTTAGTATTTCTCAAGCTTAGGATTCAAAGAAAAAAAATTCTTTAATTCAACTTGCAATGCTGAAGGATTATATGGGCAAAATACTGAATGATGCAGAAAGCAGCAAAAGAGATGGAAAGAATACACAGAGTCACTGTACCTGTACATAGACCAAGAGGCAATAGTTCGAACAAAACAAAGGGACAGAGAATGGTTTCAAATCAGGAAAAGTGTATGCCAGGGTTGTTATTCTGTTATCATACTTGTTCAGTCTGTATGCTGATATATGATATAACCTTGTTTGCTGAAAGCAAAGAGGATTTGAAATATTTACTGATGAGGAGCAAAGACCACAGTGTTTGGTACAGGTTGCCTGACCCAAATCCTGGTGTTTTCACTAAACTCATATGCATGTGAAAGTTGGACAGTGAATAAGAAAGACTGTAGACTAATTGATGCATTTGAGTTATGGTGTTGAAGAAGCATTTTAAAAGGTACCATTTGCTTCCAGAAAAACAAACAAATCTTTGCTGGAAGAACTCCATCCAGAATGCTCCTTAGAAGCCGAAATGACCAGACTTCATCTCTTGTACTTCGGACATACTATCAAGAGGGACCAGTCCCTGTAGAAGGGATTATTTGCTCAGCATGCAGATTGAACCAGTATGATGAAAAGATACAACCCTGATACATATCCTTCTTGATTTCAGACTAATCAGAATCCCATTGTTCTGTATGAGTAACTGCCTCTTGGTGTATGTACAGGTTCTACATGAGCACATATAAGTATTCAGAAATCTCCATTCTTTGTAACCTTATTCAGAACTTTTCTTTTTCACATCTATTCTGTATAAACACATCCAAAGTTTCTGAACTTGTTAATTCTCATGTATCATTTGAAGTTATAATTTCTCTATCTGCAATTAGGATTATAGGTTAATTTCTCACATAAGCCATCTGTGTTTAGAATGGTTTGTTGTTGTTAGGAGCCATTGAATCAGTGCCAACTCATTAGCGACCTTATGCACAGCAGCACAAAACACTGCCCAATCCTGGGCCAACCTCACTATTGTTACCACGCTTGAACCCGTTGATGCTGCCAACTGGCCAATCCATCTCGCTGGGGGTCTTCCTCTTTTTCACTGACTCTCCACCTTACCAAACATGATATCCTCCAGCGACTAGTCCCTCCTGACAATATGTCCGAAATATGAGAGATGAAGTTTGGCCATCCTGGCCTCCAAGGAGCACTCTGGCTGCACTTCTTCCAACACAGATC